TTAAATGATAAACTATTGAATAATCTTTAATTCATCATATTTTTTATTATTTTGACAGCTTTATATAATGAGTCTTCGCTATTGATGCCCTAACCTTAACATTGGCTATACTTTGAATGACTGTCTGACAACACTCGATTTAACAAAAACAAAAATAATTTTGATTTATCATTGAAAACAAAATCAATAAATTTCGAATACTTAAAATAACTGTCATGCATATACTATAAGTAGTGATTCTTTTAATCACATAAAAAAATTTTATCAAATTTAAATAAAAATTTTAGAAAACTGTGCAAATCATTGCATAGGTGTATATGAAAAATATCGAAAAAAGACAAATTGCAGGAGGTGGTTTCATTAAATCTTCCAAGTGTAAGCTCTTACCGAAACTGCACTGTAACCGCTTCGGTTGTCAATGTTGAAACATTTCAGAATTTTAAACTTCTTTCTCTATTGATTCTTAAAATAATAAGAATCAATTGAAAATTCCACTTCTTCCGTTTATGCGTTTCGACCCATTAATTAGTTCTACCAATAGCGATAACAACACTTTTCGTTGACAACAAATTTTATTTATTTCAAAGCGTAATCAGATAATTGAATTGTTCTCACGAAGAAACGCTCGGCTTTTCATAATCATTCCTATTTCGTAATTTGCTTGACTGAAACCTAAATTGTTGCAGCTGCAAAATTTGCTGCAAAAAGATGTGAAAACTTATGTAGTTAGCAAGGAGAGCAAAAGATACAATCGTGATATTCATCATATCATATACTGTCGCATGTAACAAAGGACTTCTAACCTAGTTCCATATCAATTATCCAGTAAGTATATCAACTCATTTCTATATAAAAACAAAATTGAGCAAAAATTTATTTAAAATGCTTTCAAAAATTTTTATTAAAAATATCATCAAGTTTTCAAATAACTGCAAGTATTATAAAATCTTTAAAAATATTTATGTAGAATTTTTAATTTTGTTAAGAACTCGTTTTGATGCTCTGTGAAAGTTTTGCCTTCAATTCAATTGCCTTCAGTTCCACTTCCCTAAAGACTAGAAAATTGATTTTTAACATACATTGTGTTCATATTTGTTTCGTCTGTGTTTCAGTTTTCCTCTTTTCTTTGTTTTATCGTTCGCTTCAGATTTTCATTTTGCTAAAAAGTTTCATGAGATTAAAAACTTTAAGAATTATTCTTATCAAGTTTAACGAATTACTTAATAAATACGTTTTTAAATCTTTCCAGTTATTAAGCATTTATGTGGTTCATTACAATACGGAATATTTATTATACGGTATAAGTGTTTAATTAATTTTTATCCCATCGCCACTTATATCATTACATTTTTATATCGTATAAAATATATTATATATAAAGGCTTTTGAAATTTATTAAAATATATTGTCACTCGAAGAATTTATCAATAACTTAACTTAAATGCATTGAAAATGAGATTGTGTAGAAAACCATTGCAGTGGCTAAGACAATTATGCAATAAGAAGTAAAGGTAGTTTAGCAAAGTTTACATGAATCTCGGCAATCGAAATAACAGCAGAAGCAGCAAACAAAATATACTGAGTAGGATTAAAAGCAATAGTGCAGATTATTAGAAGTATTAGGAATTAGAAATATTATCTGTGCCTTTATGAGAATCCCATATTTGATAAAATGAGTCTGCATGAAAACTAATCAACTTTCTATGAAACCACAAACGATGCAGCTGACGACTGGCGAAGAGGTTAACAACAATTCATACAGCATTTCACTGACAAAAAGGGATTACCATTAAAGTGTCAAAATGAACTTTGGTTCTGGTAACTTGCTTCTATATAAGCAAAATATTTGCGGAAGATAAAGTCGGCCGAGTGAAGAGAGTTGAATCGTAATATTCAAAGGGACAAGCCCATAAAAAGTATTACAAATATTAGTTACCGTAAATAGTTTGTAAATAGAGATCATAAGAACTATAAACGAAACCTATTCTATTCTAAAAATCACGACTCAAACAAATCCGATAAATACAAATAATCTCGCAAAACATCATTTTACGTTACAATGAATTCATAAAACTTAGCGACTCGCTGAAACCTCCTTTCAGACAATTAAGCCGAAAAAAAGAGAGAAAATTTAAAAGAAAAGTATATTTAAAATTGTGAGGGCATAAGTTGCCCCTTCTCTGGGGCTGAGGTAGCTCAGCGGCCCAGGAATTTAGTCACAAGAAATTTATAGTATTATTCGGTATAATATTCATCACTTTATTCTCTGATACTTCACGTTACTTCGCAATAATAATCAAAAATACGAACAGTCCGTATTTACTGGGCGAGACGTCTCGTCGCGCTCGCCGCTCGCGACCGACTCCCCTCAAGTAAACTTACTAACTTTTACTTACTCATTAATCTACCTTAGCTCTACTCTTATCCTACTCTTAGTCCTATTCTTATCTTACTTACTCTTAGTCTTACTGTTATCCTACTTGATCTCTAACTTATTTTCCAACTCATTTTCTAACTTGTTCCCTATGTTATGCTAGCACTCTCCCCCCACCAGAGATGGAGAAACTGGGAAGCCAAAACGAGGACCGACTTTGGCTCCTCACAAAATTTTTGAAGTTTTACTTTATTTATCGAAAAATGCTTATGCAAATGACTTCAAACTTCTTGATTTATATCCGGATGTTGTTGTCAAATTTTTCGGTTTCGTGAACCAACAGTTGGTCGCCTTCTGCGCGACATTTGTCTTTAATATTATAATAATTTTTCCGTTCATACGTTAGATATTTATTCATTTGTCCTTCAAAAACAAGCTCAGCAAGGCAGCTAACGAATGAAAATCAAAATTATTACATCTTAAGATTTTTATTTATAGAGCCACAATAAATATTATAACTAAATTTGATTATAATCGGTCCAATGAAACAAAAGTTAGATTATAGCTCCATCTAATCACATATCGCAGCTTTCTTAAGTCCAGTCGATTGTTATGTATGAGCTTCACTCCAATCGAATGCAAATAGTTTGGTTTTTTTTACAATGACATATGTATTGCCTACATCAAGTTTTGTATATACATAATCGATTATCACCAGCGAACATATATACCTGTAATATCTATTTCCGTATGATGTTATTTATGCGACTTTTCTTGTAGACAGGATGATAAACCATGCGTTTGAGCACAGATGTGCCGAAGCCCTCACCTCCTCGTGGTGATCCATGGAAACAGTCTTGACAGACGAAGAAGAGTTGAAGGCTTCGACTATCTACAAGTTAGACACAAATTTTCTGAAAGATAGCTTATGGCTATACTGGAAGAAGCACTCTTTTCTCATACACTGTTACTAAGAAAGAAATACTAACCAAACCAGCTGGTAACTGGTTATGTAAAATACGTTGATATAGTAATAGGCCAGAGCAAGACACTGCCCGCCATGTCAATTGTAACACCCGATGCTAATATATCTTGAAGAATGGTAGTCCAACGTTGGCTAACGGGGATTGTACGGATAATCCAAAGCCAAAAGTGACTAGGTTGCGTAAAATAAGGCTAAAGGCTTTATAGTCTAAGTTGAAGCTCCACGGTGGGTGAGGAGCGCACTCACTATGTCACGAGTACCTACGGGTGGAGGTGACAACATTAGTTTACTGCAGATTGGTGCTTGCCAAGATCCTTCGGGGAAAAGCTTGCTTACTTACATACATGTCGAAACCGCGGTGGAAGCTTGTATGTCCAGTCCCCAGTTTGGACGCAGCAATTAACCAATGTATAAGTCCTACCTGCTGGGTACGGCTCTTCGGGGGTTATCGTGGTGGGGGTTGCGGTTTCTTTCATTCCAAAAGCGAATAATTAGAGGTAAATATAAACCTTAACATCTGCCAGGGTGGGTATATTGAGCCATACACAATAAACACAACTGGATTCTCCAGTGTGGTTTAAGCCCCTAGTTTATAGGGATTGTCTAGCTCTCTAAAGGGCGGCGGTTACGCAAAATTTATCCATGTATCATCGGGCATCGTGGGCTTAAGCCGACAGGGTATGTAGCCACGTTAAACCAACAAGGACATTTGTACACGGGATGGATTTTATAACGATCTTATTGAAATGATTAACGGCGAAACTGTAAATGACGGTGAAATTTCCAATAACAATTTTCTCTTATTTGTTATACATATCTGACCAGTCACTCAAGGAATGCCCCCTATACACCAAAAGATCTACGGAGGTGATGATCGCTGTCTGGCGACTGAGTGCCTAAGCGCGAACTGTTATGCCTTTCGGCGACAGTCCGTTCATCATAGCTAGGGCGAGGTAAGTTCTATCGCGCTAGAAATTTGAAACCACAAACACTGGCTTGATTATCGCTATTCTTGTCACTCTGCTGCTCATATGTATTTAACAATTAAGAAGACGGAGAAGAAAAATTGGACTTGGGATTTAAAGCCACGAATGCTGGCTTAATTGTCGCTATTCCTATCTACTCGGCTACGCAAGCCAACTTAATGGATCATAAAAATAGAGAAGAAGAATCGGATAAAATATATGCGGGAATTAAGTGTTGCAGCAAAACGTTTTCTTGACATATATTAAAAAGTTCAAAATTGGAACAAGAGCTGTGATCATTTATGTCTCTTGCTATCACGACCGACTTGGCAAACAACTATCAACGACTACATGGTAACAAAAAGTGACTCAACTCTAATATCTTCAAGTGACGCAAGCGATTATGAACCAGATCATCGCAAGAACATTGGCGTGCTCTATGGAAGAACAAATAATTGCAACATTGTTATGCAAAAAATAAAGAAAGATAGCCCTTTGTAAAAAATAAAGAAAGATAGCCCTATGTAAAAAGCTTTATTTAATTTATGATTATTTCATTTATTAATCAGTTTATGCAAAGTCTTTTTGTTATGTTATTACACGCCACATGATATTATGCTTATAAAGGTTATAATTGAATAAATCCACGCTCTACGCTCAGTATCAGATTTCTTATGCTATAGGTTATGCTTATAGTAATTTGTTTATGTCTATCTTCATCATTTTTTTTTTCCCAAGGTTAATTGTACATTGATTAGGAAACTGCAAAAGGAATCAAAAGGTACTACCTAAGCGCAGACTAAGCAACAGCCTTTTTCTCATTTTCTTTCTATATATATGAAATTAAATACTTATGGAGTATCATGTCTAAGGCTTGAGTAAATCAAAAGACTTTCTCTTACATATATCTTCGTATCTAGACAACGTGTCTAAATAACGTCTTCCTAAAACATTAATATACATAATGTTTAATAATTTTTTTTATGTGCGAATATATGTACACGTGCATCGTCACTAAATCTTTCTACGTAATTAACACGAATTTATTAAATGGAATGTCAACTTATTGAAGGTAATCTTTAATAATTTAAATTATATTTCTAACTGTAGAGAAACATACGTACGAATTTAATATGCAATCCAAAAATGAAAACATATATCTTATATATATAATAATATAAAAAATTATTTCCAATTTTTGAAAATCCAATAGTTAGGGTATGGCTGCGAATCGGTTTGTTGTACTAACTAAAGTTGAGTAACTAACAAAACAAATATGCTTTTATGCACACTTTTATGCAATAGCATATTATCATCTTTGGGTGCATCATGTACCCTATTCGGTCTATTTTAGAATATTTTGTTTTTTGACGTGTAACGTGATGAGAGAAATATGTTTACTGAGTTGCAGTTTTAGTAAATAGTGTCAAAAATTTATGCAGATGCTTGTTAAGAGGAATGATAGACCAAATGCATGTCTAAACATTTATCTTCTTTAATAGAGAAGGTTAATCATAATATAAAGACAATCTTTCGTCAAAAATCTCTTATAACGCAATGTTTGCAAAGTTTTTAACTACTTCTGATATTTATTTAGGCATAGAAATAAATTCAAAGACTAAAGTCTTAAAGCACTAGCATATAAGGCTATCGACTTTATTGCAAAACTCTAGCGGACTTGATTTATTATAACTCTAATCTTATCACTCGTACGCAAATCTATATCAATCTCAGCGATCCAAGCAGATATTTCACTTATCTTCGACCTAAAATCCATTCTAAGAGCCATCGTGATTGTAATTGGTATTCTTTGAAAATCCGGTCAACAAAAAACGGAAAACAGAAATAGTATAAAAAGCCGCTCTTTAAGAAGGAGCTTTACCCGAAATTTAACCTCCGTTCATTTTTTCAGTTCAAAATCATCATACTAAAGTGTCCAAAATGTAAAATCAATTTATTTTTTTCGTTTTTAAATCTACTTATTATTCCAATCGTATTCCATCCTGTTCAATGTAATCTTGAAACTTCAAGAATATTCCTTGTTAATAGTTTGACCCGATAGAAAATATTGATAGTGCATCACGATAATCGCCGAGTAACCGAGTAACATGGTGCCATTTTTTCAGTCTTAGCTCACCTTTTGCCCGATATTCGCTTGATTGATCGATTGTTTCCGGGTCGTATAAGTGGATCGAAGTCTCATTTCGTATCGTTAAGCAAACAAAATTGAAAGCATCTTCTTCGCTCCTAGTCACACCTTTTAAAAATCGGAAAAAATAGACTTTGTGTCGCACAAGGCTAAGCACAGATGAAATGCTAATCTCGTTTCTGATATGAAATCTGCTCCAGATTTCTACCACAGTGCTAGTAATATATACTCAAGATATACTCAAGCCCGTTAGCTTGTATATTAGTCTTACCTTTTGTTCGCGAGTATTTGTATATGTGTTGACATTTCTTCTTTCTTTCTTTTTTTCACAGTAGGCTGCGAAATCGCTCAACAACTAGGACTAATGTGAGTTGGAATCTTTTATCGATCAAGAATTAGCTAGATTTCTGGTTATTTTTTTTTTTTTTTATTAAGTATGTTAACTGGATAAATATTTAATACAAACAATAACATATTGTTATAATATGTATATATGTGTATATACTTTTGGATGCAATGTCAAATAAAAAAAAACAATTTTTTTTCTGTATTAATTCGATTACCCCAAAGTATTTTAGACGGCAAATACACCTAAACGGTCAGTCAACTATCTAAAGATTCAATTAATATGTGCGTCATAAGGATACGCATAAGTTGTCTTACCTACGGTGCAGATAGTAAAATATGAAAAAAAGACAGAATTAAAACCTATAACAAAATACAGAATCATTTAGTCTATTTTCTTTTTATTGGAAATATATATATGTATATATTTAGGTGGCATTTGATAGTGATTTCCAATGCTACTAACGGTAATTTGTGTTGAATTAAACAATTAAATTATGAAAATTTAAACAAGGACTCGCATAGTTAAGCAATTAATTGTAGAAACGAACAACGTTTAAGCTGTGCGCCATCAGTGTATATTGGCGTATATGGATATATCTACACATACGCACGGAGTTACACACCTGTAGCACATAGATACGGTAAATTATTGTTATATCTTATATTACAGGGGTCGCAGAATATATTAACTTAATGCAATTGCGCCCAACACTCATAAGGATATAAGATAAGCCTACCGTTTATATTAAAGAACGATTCAGAATTATTGATAGAATCGATTTAAGCCTGTGAAAATATTGTGAATCGGACCATTCTAGTCACCTTATCTTCTTCATAAAATGTTGCTGGTATGTAAGAAAGAATTTTTCTATTTTCAAAATTTTTCAAGTAATGGTACTTCGTTGAATAACAGTAGCTCGGCATAGTAAGCTTATGTCGAAAATTCGGTTTGATTAGATCAATTTTATAAATCCCTTGCATATAAGAATCTGCTACTTGTAGCAAATTCCATCTACGTATAAGGGGACGCAAACTAAGTCGTGTTATATGGCAATAAAATATAGATTTCAGTGCTTTATGACGGAAGAAGAGATAAGGAATAATAACGCTCCCATGCATGAAAACTATGTCTGTACATAGAAAAAGGGATATATAATTTTTCATAATTCATCAAGAAAATAAATGGAAAGTGATGTAAAGTGTTCAATGATCGACCTTATTCCACTGCAATGTTTTTATCTGTTTTTAATTATTATTATTATTATTATTTTAATTTTAGACTAATGAATTGAATT